GAGGTGTGTGTGTGTGTGTGTGTGTGTGTGTGTGTGTGTGTGTGTGTGTGTGTGTGTGTAAGAAAGAGAGAAAGAGAACCTCCTGAAAAGCACCTTATACGAATCTTTTGTTGTATTTCGGATTGCAGGTTGGCAGTGGTGCTAGCTGTTTTTACTTCGAGCTATAAAATGTACCAAAGGAGTTTCCAACAGGCATAAATAACAAACCCGTTTATATCATGTCAGGGGTATGGAAGCAGGCCTTTGAGAAATGATCTCATAGGCATTCTTTGTCGTAGATCTGGCACATACTCTGTGCTTCATTCTTTTCTAAAAACAACTCCCGTCTTTAACACTGGCATGTCCCACACATACTCCTCCTGCTAGGTCTACATTAACCAGACCTACACTGCGTTTGGAAGGTAACGGCTGCAGATTTATTTAGTGACTTTTATATCCACTTATTTACAGTGGTATTGTGCCTCTTAATACTCCCCACCCACAAATCTTCTATGAAGCTTCCAATTTTAGCATTGATTCATCTACTGCTGTTCCCTATGGCATTCACACTTCCAACAATCTTTCACGTGCTATCTAGGGAATCACTATAGGACATGGACATTGCTACGTTATAGATAAATCTAAAATTGCTTTTATTATGAATTGTCTGACTGTAGCAGTACCATAGGAGAAACTAACAAGCATCTTTGCACATAAAGGACAAGTGCTCACACATGACCTATCTGTAATAGTCAGACTTCTGGGTGTGGGTGAAGTTTTTCTTTGGCTTTTTGTATTGCCAGTCTGCATATTGGAAGGAAAAGGAACATTCAAAATTTAACCACAAACACCAAGGCTGAACTGATCAATCATGGCTGGTTAAAGTTAAGCCCCTAAGTCTATATTTAAGCACCATAATGACTGCGTTGATTTTTCAGAGGTGCTGAACTCACCAGTGGGAGCGGTGTGGGAAAAAACATATCAGCTGTTTGGGTGCATAAATATAGATTATGGGGCATAACTTTAGCCGTCCGCTTTGGATAATTTGACTCAATTGGGTACGTGGCCCTAGAACGGGTCTCAATACATTTGCGAACTTAAGCACATTAGTTTCTTGAATAATTCCTGACATTTTTTTGATGAAAATTAGACTTGATTCCAAAGAGATCCATCCTGAATGACCAAAATTGCTTCTGATGAATTGCAAGTGTAATTCTGTTCTGAAAAGCTGCTCTGTGAAAGTGGCTTCGAGGGGTTCTATGTTAGTTGTTTCTCATTGATTTCATTATAAAATATATTAAGTTCACAAGTTAATTTTTTTTCTAACTACCAGGCCTGCAACATGAGACCTGAAAATCAAGCTGTGGTCTTTCCTTTTCACCCATCATCACTGAGAATAAAGGTTCTGTATGCCAAATTATGCCTTCAGTTATACCTGGAGCAATATTGTATTCATTGGGTTTGAACAGGTGTAACTAACTGGCTGTATAATGAAATTGAGCAAACAATTCTGCTGATGGTACAGAAAAATAGTATCCTTGTTTTTTCTGAGCTGTATTGGCTCTCCAGAGCTGTTTGGGAGTATAAGATAGTAAACTCTTACTACACAGGGAGCAAATCTCCTAGGGAAGAAGGGTCCATTTTCACATGCTGTAGTCACGTTTCAGAGTAAACCCTCACTGTTGTAAAGTAACATAATATTTGTGTTTAGATGGCCCATTGGATTAGCAAACTGGCCTTTTATTTCTACAAACAGCACTTGAAACCCTCTTTTAATCATATGTAGAAGTGTATTCTGAACTCTGACAATTGCAGCAGGTCTACAGGAGCAGGGCTAACAACAGAGATAAGGTTCTAAGCAGTAATTAACTAACTAATCCTCCAGATAAGATGAAAGATACACAGAGGGTTCCCAGGCATCTGGTTTTCGACCAGAACGCCAGGTGGAAAAGGGACTCTGGTGGTTCCAGTCAGCACCGCTGACCAGGCCATTAAAAGTCCAGTCAGCGGTGCAGCTGAGCCTAAAGCAGGCTCCCTGCCTGCCCTGGATCTGTGCAGCTCCCTGGAAGCAGCCAGCATGTCTGGCCCCTAGGCGCGGTGGCGTGCTGCCCCCACCCACAGCCGTGGTGGCTCCGGTATCACGCACAGTACAGAGCCGCCTGGCCTCATCTCCGTCTAGGGGCTGGACACGGCAGCCATTTCTGGGAGCAGTGTGGAGCCAGGGCAGACAGGGAGCTTGCCTTAGCTCCGCTGCGCCACCGACCGGGAGCCACCTGAGGTAAGCGTCACCCAGCCGGAGCCCATACCCCGAAGCCCCCTGCCCCAGGTTGGAAACCCCTCCCTCACCCAACTCTCTATCCCAGGCCTGAGCCCCCTCCCAGACCCCTACCCCTGAGCCCCCTCCCACACCTCAACCCTCTGCCCCCTCCCGGAGCTCCCTCCTGCATCCCAAACTCCTCATCCCTAGCCCCACCCCAGAGCCCACACCCCAGCCGGAGCCTGAACCCCAACCCCCTGCCCCAGGTCGGAGCCCTCTCCCTCACCCAACTCCCTACCCCAGGCCTGAGCCCCCTCCCAGAGCCCACACCCCATCCGGAGCCTGAACCCCAACCCCCTGCCCCAGGTCGGAGCCCTCTCCCTCACCCAACTCCCTACCCCAGGCCTGAGCCCCCTCCCAGAGCCCACACCCCATCCGGAGCCTGAACTCCAACCCCCTGTCCCAGCCCGGAGCCCCAGCCTGCACTCCCCAGCTGGAGCCATCACCCCCACCCATACCCCTGCCCCAACGCAGTGAAAGTGAGGGTGGGGGAGAGCGAGTGACAGAGTGAGGGGGGCTGGAGTGAGTGGAGGAGCCTAAGAGAGAGGATGGGGAAGGGGAGGGGCAAGGGTGTTTGGTGTTGTGCAATTAGAAAGTTGGCAACCCTAGATACATAGTATGAGCCTAAATTTATCTGGAGTTATCCTCAAGAAAATTCCTCTTTCCTCTGAATTCCCAATCCATGCTTATTATACTGCCAAAGTGGAGTTGTGTGTCCAGGCCTGTCAGACATCATTTTTATTTCTCAGACCAGGTGCAGTCAGACTTACCTAGCAAACTCAGGTACTCCTGCTGTATATTGGGAGGGGCTGGCTCACTTCCACTGTTCGGTTCCTTCTTTATTCTAGAATTCACCCAACACGTTTTCCCCACTGTCTTCTTACCTTTTGTGTTGTCCCAGATCTTATAAGCTTTGGACCAGGCTTTATAAAAAGCACAGTCAGTGCAGTCGTGCCCTGCACCGTCTTGACAGCTTGGTTTTTTCCCAGGCCTACAGTGGTCCTCCTGGAGCGGCGGGAGGCTTTTTTGCCTGGGGCAGCAAAAAAGCCTGAGCCAGCCCTGATAATAGCAATATATTTCTATGAATTGAAAAAATCTCCGTATTGTTTAAGTATTAAGCAATCTCTGTTTTATAGTTAGGATTTGTGTATGGTGACGTATCATGTGGGGGCCCCCTTAGGTGCCCCTTTGGTTCTGGACCTGCACCTTCATGCCTTTGAGGGGTGTAGTAAGATTTCATGATGTGTTCACACCTCATTTTTTTGATATCCCTTCCTTTGGTGATTGGCGCTTCAAAACAAGAGCTTTTTCTTTGTTTATAAAACAAACCGCTAAACCCAACCTCCTGTTGGCAGGAGCTGAGTAATGAAGAACAGCAACAAACATGTAATCACATGCCATTAAGGAAAATAAAAATTCAGCAAGGTATTGGCTTTCAGTTTCCAAGAGGAAACAACAGTGGGATGGGGAAAGCAATTTAAGAACTATGAGAGATACCATGGCATTATCCAAACTTTACAAGTTATCAGTAAAGTAACACATTCTGATTAAGCAGCCAACATTGGAGATGCTTTTAGAAATTCATTATGGTATTTCTCCAGTAATGCGCAGTGTCCTGCAAATCTCCAGGGAGGCACAACAAGAGAAAGCTTAACTCCTAGAGAAGATTTTGGAAAGCACCTAAGAGATTTAGGAGCACAGGTTCCACTTCAGTTCACTAATAAGAAAACAGAACATACCTCTAGTAACACCTTCCATATAGCCAACTGAGGGTGGCTTTTTTATTATTATTTATTATTATTATTATTTTGCAAATTTTGATTGCTGCTAGTTGGACACCAACATCAAAATTTTGCTCTCACTGAAGTCAATAGGAAGTTTATTAAAAGGGAGTGTTAACTTCCGTGGGATCAGGATAAGGCCCAAATGATTTTAAGACTCAAGGGTCCACATAAGCCTCATAAGAAAAAAACCTCAGCATTTTCACAGATTTATTTCAGTGAATATGTTGACCTTTGTTATATCGACGCAACCCACTACAATCCTTACATTTGTCATGGACCACATTTTCAAAGGTGCACAGCACCCAACAGCTCCCATTGTTCTCTCTGCTCTTCTAAAATCTTGCCAGACTGTGTTGTGGCACCTAAATGTGAGAATCTGGGTTAAAGTGTGGGTGCTGAGCACTTTTGGAAAGCTGACTCTCTGTGTAGCCTAGATAAAATGTGGAGTAGTTAGGTATCTTGCTTTTTCCTGGGTCTTTTTTTTTTTAATTATTAAAATCACCTCACTTGCTTATGTTTCTGTTTTTTCTCTAGTCAGTGCAGAGATTCTGTGGTGGTAAGTGCTAGGAATAGTTGCCATGTGGGGTAGATAGAATGTGTGTGGTTGATAACTGATATGAGGCCTGTAGCTAACTGATCTGACTCCAGAGACTAGCTGATCTAGAGGAACTTTTCCATCTGATTTCTATAATCATCAGTAAATCATATTCCTGCCTTTTGTCATATCCATTTTGAACTTATACTCAAAGGTTATGAGCATCTCCCAATGCTG